AATACCAAACAAACAAGCGTATATATGTGGGGGGGGCATGGCAGGGGGGATGTGGAGAACATTTTTATTTCAGGGCAACAGCCAACCTTCTAAGAGAACTGGAATGACATAGTGGGTGACTCCTCTTTAAAATAACCCTGGGATCTAAGTCTAATTTCTAAACCACGTAAGTATTCTGCTTAATGACATCCTTTATTTGCTTTGTTATCCAGTCTCTAAAATAATTAAGATATAAACCCCCATTCAACCTTCAGCTTTTATTGAAGATTAATTTCCTATACAAACAATACTATCTTCTGACTCTCTCCCTCTACATTACAGCTCAGGTCTATATACTTCTATCACTGGAAATGCACTTGTCTCCTTGGAAGTAATAGGAGAAACAAGCACAATTTAATTAAGAAATACTCCTTTTGTTCCTCCTGGAGTTGAGATGCAGCAACTAATGTTCACCCATTGCTTAGCAGCAGAGAGGAGTTTGGAAAAGATGTTACAAATGCAAACAAAAGCGCAGTATGTTGGCTACAGACTTGATGAAGGATCTGGCAGAAGTCCCCTGCCTGTAGTCGTAAGTAACTTACTCAGCCAAAACTCAAAACCAGCCTCCTTTTCAAGGTTTGCAGGAATCCATACTCAAGTCTAAACCTTTAAACACGTTCTTAGGTATGTCAAAAAAAAGTACAGTGCACTTGTGAGATTGCCTCTCCCTCTTGCAAACACTAGACCACCACAGGATGTTTCTGCAGCCAGCTCCTAGAGTTGGCTTTCCAAAAGCAGAATAAATCCCTTCGGGCCAGCTATAAATTGCTGCTCTTTGATATTAAATTACCAGGTTTACTTCCATGCTAGAAATGTGGATGAAGCAAGTCTTATGCATTACACATTCTGTGACCACTACTGTGAATATATTCTGTATGATTAATTAGCCTGTTAACTCTGGGATATATTTGATTAGAGGCTCATTTACTAAGGCATGTGCCTAACTCTAAACACTCAATTCAGTTTCATTGAGCTCTACGTCTCTATCAGGACTAAGCCAAACAGAAATGGTAAAAGGTAAATGCAAGTAAATACAGAGAACAAGTTACCTTGTAAGAAGAAACTGGGAATTCTGGATAGTCTGCTGACTGTTTTCTGTGTTAGATGTGTTGTTTGCTGTTGTAGATTGTGTCATAGTGGCGTTGACATTGATCGTGTTGGTGCGTCTAGTTGCATTGCGTGCAGTCTCCAGTTGTTGTCTTGCTGCCTGTGCATGTTGCCGTTCCAACTGCAGTTGCATCTGCAGCTGCTGTAACTGAGAAGCAGAAGGGCCAGAGGAGTTGAGCTGTCCTCCTGCAGAACGCCTCACGCCTGATAGCTGAGATAAAAGCTCTGCCAGAGAAAATAAAGTTTCTATGATGAGAGATCTTAAGTGAGCATTACACAACAGAATGAATACACCCTGAATTCCAGAGCATCAATTCCTTTTTTAAAAATCAATAAAATCAAAGAAATCATGCCACGCTGAAAAGCCCATGAAGCTCTTAGAAAATGTCATAGCACTGGACATCTCAAAGGGCAAGGAGGATTTGTTCGAAATAAGAAGTCAAAGTTTAATGCCTTCAAAATAGCAGGAGGGCTAATCTACAGGGAATGCCTGGCAAATCATGTCCTCTGCAGCAATTCTCTGAAGCTTCAAGTCAAAATAGCAACTGGCTAAGAAGCTATTTCACCTTGGTTTTGGTTGGTGATTTTATTTTCCTCAAAACCCTCAAAACACAGGCTTCACCTTGCCAATATCCCAGAGGTAAGCTGTGCTGCAAGAGAGACATATTGTACCATTGCTTCAAAAATTTAATAACAAGTATTTAGTTAAGGTAACATATTAAAGTATTGCCACACATCAAAATTGAAGTGGTCAGGCATCTTTGCTTTATGAATTTTTATTTCTTCCAGAAATATAGAGAAGGGCTGGCCATTAAAGATACCTCTGGTCCTTAAGTCTTCCAATGCAGAGGGATGGAATGATTATAGCAAGTTTCATCCACAAAGAGTTTTTCTGAAACAAGTATTAGCAGCAAATTGCTGCTCAGCGCATTACTGCAGAATCCTTCTACACCCTCTGTAGGACGTACTTCTTATGTCACCTGCTTGCTGCTATGGCTGACACAAGGGCAGAGGAAGTGAGGGATGATATTGCTCCTGTCCCTCATCTTTATATTACAGAACTATTACACAGGTCATGACAATTCTCCTTCCATTGCATTAACAAAATATAATCCTTCTAAATAAGGTGTTGCTTAACTTACATTCCTCTCTTGATGGGATACTTCTTCCCAGCTAATTTAATGATTTAAGTTGGGTCACAGCTGGCCAGCAGAGCACCACAGCCAGAAGGTGGCAAGCAAGTGGACCATGATTAAGGAAGGCAGTGGAGCCACAGGTTCCCTTTCAGGGGCAATGCCTCATTAAGCTGGCTGGCTACCTCCCTCTAAAGAAGTCACAACAAGACAGTAGGAAGCTCCAATTTAAGCATTATGCCTTCTTGGCACCTGAAGCAAAGGTGGATTATGGCAGAAGTTCTGAGGTTTCCCCGACACTTACACTGGCATGGTCAAAGACCACCACAAAAACGTTTAGATTTCCCCTTAGGGAAAGTTGTATTTGTTTTCAGAATTGTCTTCATTCACTATTTTTTCTTTCCTGTAAAAAAAGTTATTTTCACAACAAAGCTAAACATACGCCGAACAAGTTATTCCTGTGAATCCTAAAGACACATCATCATTATTCTCTGGTGTTGAGAAATGAGACACTCCTCCCCTCACAGTTTTTCTAAACTTGATCAAAATACTGCTGCAAATACTCACAACAGTACATTTATATAAGAATTTACAAGTACAACTAAAAAAACCCCAATCTGTGATATTAGCAAGTCAGGCACTCAAATAGCAGCCTGAATGCAAACTGAACATATTTTATATGTCCATTAATACTCAAATTCAGCTAAATTCATGTTCATTGAAACAGATAATCTCTTCCATAAACACCTTCATCCATATGGCAAATTAAAATGAGATGTACTAAACAAGGTGATGGAAGTTACACACAATCACTTGTAAAAATACACAGCACCAGCACTTAGATCAGGTTTGGGAATAAGCCTTACACTGTCTAGAATTAGAAGCACAAGCTACAGGCAGAGCTTTCAGCTTCAGCATCTCCATGCACAAGCCCTGTGACAACCCACCCAAGCACAATGCTCACCTGCAAGCAGCCATGAATCACACCTGCACTGTGGAGTGTATCTATACATGCAGCTTCACAACACATGAAAGCAGGGCAACTATTATCATCTTGAATTTTATTTCCTCTGTGTAAGGAGGACACCGGGGTAAAATTTGTGGTTACCAGTCTTACCAGCTATAGGATCCATGGCTTCTCTATTGCTTGGAGAATACGAACTCTGAGAAGATGAAAGCCCACCAGGGGAACTGGTAGTAAAGTGCATGTTTGATCTACGTGCACGGGGGCCTCCCAAGCCCCGGCCTGGGTGGAACATCCTACGTACATGCCGAACACCACTGGATTCATCGTAGCCAAGAAGTTAAGAAAACAGAACTCTTTGACATTGAGTATTAAATGACAAGGACATTTGACAGGTGAAATATTCAGATGCACACTGTTCTTCACTGTTCTCCACTTCTGAAGCAAACCTAAGGTACACTGTAGCTATGGTGCAAGTCAGACTTACTGATCTGAACTCAAGATACCCAGTGCTGTGTACACCGAACTCCCTCTATTTCTCCAGCTTTTTATGATGACTAAGAAACATCAGGATTCATTTCTTCATTTTTTTAGGTCAATGTTTTCATCAGTATTTTGAAAACTGACAAAAGCATGTTCAGCCAAGACAGGTGTTTTATTCTCCTTCCCCAATTCTTATGTTAAGTATTGAAAGTAATAAAGTTTATTGCCTTTCCTATCAAAAGTACATAGTAATTACTGTATGCCTTTTGACTTTTGTACTTCATGCTTTTATCTGAGAAATTTCATCACTTCAATCCTTAAGAAATTGTAGGTTTCTAGAGTATTCAGCACCTTCACCACACCCATTTGTTTCACCTTTCTTCTTCTAGCCAAAGAAATACCACTAATTCCAGTTATGACAATGATGCTTTTCATTTTCCCATTTTTCCCCACTTCTATCAGAGGTTTATATTTCAAGTCATACCTTTTATACATTTTCTCATATAAATTGAGACAGACAACAAATTGTTTAAAGATTATTTTTGTCAGAAAGTTGTTAACATTCATTCCTCCAAGACAGTCCAGACAAGGCTTCCTTTTATTTTAAGAATCACTAGTATAATTCACTAGTGCAAAATGAAATAACATAGGCTTGAATATTTCATTTTACTAGACTTTTAGCTTAGATCCTCCTATCTCCCATGTTCTTTATTTTTGTAATAGTATGCTTACCAATTGTATGGTAGTATAGTAACAGTAGTAGTTAGTAGTACAGTAACAGTGGTAGTAGTACAGTAGTGTGTAACTGCAGTGCCCATTGTACTTTTCATAAAACACAGTTATGGTGCAGAACCTCAGGATGTCATGGAGGTCAAGGACTTAAGACCAAAAGAAGTTACTAGACTTCTCATGGCAAGAAAGAACTTCTGGCAATTACAAAAAGATTTTAAGGAATGTTTGCCTCTTTCAAACCTATTAGCTCCAGTGTAACACACTTAACATCTAAGGCATAAGAAGGAAGTCTCTGCTGGCACAGAACACACTTCACCTAGCAGAGTGCCTTGCACCTCGGAGTGTGCTAAAATTTGATGCTGCTGGAGATGAGATACTGTATCAGATGGATTACTGCCCACCACCATGCAGTTTGGCAAGCTTTTCATAACTATACCTGCTAGAAAAGGCCAGTATCTGGGGATTTTGCAAGCACACATGGGACTGTGGGGTAACTTTCGAACTGCAGCTTTTGAAGTGTTTTGAGACAAACATGATTCTTTAAATACTAGCTAAGTGTGCACCCAGGTCTTACCAGCTATGCTAAAGTACGAAAAACATTTGTAAACCTTAATTTGTGACAAACAGATAAACTGAATAGCCGTGCGAGAACTATTTGCATGATGGATACTTAAAAGCTGTATTTAACAAATTTTCTTACTTTAGCAGGAAAGTGTTTGAAATTGGGCTTTAAAGAGTTGTCCCCTGACTGCACGAATAAAGGACATACCTTGCAATGGCTGCAGAAGGTTTATAAACAAGAAACACATAGAGCCTTCTGGGAACACTTAAGAAAAAAAACACAGAAAACAAACTCAAAAATAAACCACACGTCTAATCAATACTTAGAAGATAAGGCCACTTGAGCAGAGGCACTCTAGCAGACAACAAAAGCTTACCTCAAACTGTAACAGAAATCTTCACTCTACAAAAAGTGCAGGTGAATAGCCTTCTATCTCCTTTCTGTGCATGAAGGTTGCTACAGAGTATGGAGAGCTGTCCTGTACAGTTTTAACTTTATATGAAGATGTTTAGAACAGCAATATAACATTATTGGAGAGCAGCTTTCTAACAGCTTCCCTGACTTTGACAGTTATTCTTTCCTACATTGCCAGACCCTGGATGAAAAGGGGCATCTCCTCTTCCTTTTTTCATACTTCAGACCTGCCTGTTGCTAGACATGATACAGAGCCCAACATGAAATCGTGAGACGATCACGTGAAAAGTGACGACACTTCAGGATACACTTCTTACTAGGTTTTGGAGACTTGGCAACACTGATTGCTGAAGCAAGTGTACAAGCAGAAAATTCTACATGCATTGTCTTTTAATGCTAAATCATGGACAATTTGTTCCCAAAAACATATCCAAGAAAGATCCATTTTGGGATGACGGACATTGAAGCCTTATCTGTATTTGAAAACATTGATTTTTCTAGCTCAAACATTCCCAAATTAAGTTTTCTGGTGGCATCCCTGATACTGCAGGGGGAAAAAAGCTGCAGAAGCATAATCTCTGATCAAACATCGATGTTAATTTCAGTAGGAAATTAATTTCACTCTAACTGGGAAAATTTAATTGCTCCGTAGGCTAGGAAGTTTAAGTCAATGTTAGAGGCCCACAGTTTGACCTTAAATACGTTGCTATATAGTCATTAGGCACATAAATTTCATTAGAAAAAGCATTATTAGGCAGGTGCTATGAAAGACTCACCATTGGTTGAAATAGCAGAACTAAACTGATCAAGAAAAATCGCTCAGTTACTTACTACACCAGTTGCTTGATGAAGCAACATCTTAGAGCTATCCAAAGGCCAGGAAAGATCCAATGGTCTGGAAGATGCTCTCCCTTCAATCAATCTCATCCCACCCCCACCTGAAAGAGAGCATGGCATGACTCTACCTTGGGGGCTAACTGACCACAGAGGACCTCCCTGGATGCCTGGGACCACGCTCTCTCTCATGGCCAGAGCCACTGCGTTCAGCACTCTGCTCCTCCCAACTGCTGAGAGCCTGGCTTCTGTCCACAGGGAAAGGTTAAATAGAGATGCTTTTACCTAACTTTGTAGTGTTCTTTGCATTATTAGTTACTCCTTCACAGAGCCAATGAACACCCAAACTCCTTTACACTGATCCAATTATTGTGTAGTAATTAATGTGTGCATTTAGTCTGTCTTGACCCTAACCATGGTAACGCTAACAAGCTTAAATGCAGTCAAACACAATCATAACCGAAATGGAACCATCTCCTTAAATGTTATCTTCCTTCTGCTAGCATAATGAACTCCAGTTGCTAGGGCTTAGGGTTTGGGTTTTTTTTAGTCTAATTGCTAGGGCTTAGATTTTTTTTCCCTTTTTTAAAAAGTCTTTAAACAAAAGAGCCACTAGCAAAGTAATAATTAATCTTCTTGTCTGTTTAAACAAGACACAAAGGAGTACTTCAGATACTACTTACTGTAGGTACTTACTGTAGGTAGACTACATAGCCTACATGTCTTTAAATAGAAAGCCCAAACCAAAACACATTTCATCAGTTAATCAGGGGGGGTGTTTAAAAGAAAAATGCTACTAGAACAAGGATAAAAAACCCCAATAGTTCTAGCTCTTCAGCCTTAAAGCATAGATAAATCAGCGTAACTTGCTGCTAAGGTAATTGAAAAACAAACATCCTATTTCCCAGGAAATCTGAAAGTTTTCCAAGTTGTATTACACGATGTCAGTAACATTGCAAAATTGTGTTGTTAAAACGTGGTGTTAGAAGTAGTTAAGAAAGTTTAAAATCATTAGACAAAACCAGTCAAGCTTGAATCATCTTCAGATCATCATCTTCATGTCACAAATTTTTACAGCACACTACTAAATCTAGATACATAAAGCAGCATCAAGACTAATGATCAGACAGGATAAACCACAGCGCAAGTAGAAAAACCTCTTGATGTCAAAGGTCTTTCAATGTTTTTGCTGCTAGAACAAAAAGCACTGTCAAGTATACCTCCAGTCTCTTCACAATCTGGTATTTATACTTTCTTAAACTAGCAAGTGAACATTTTTATTTTTGACATACAGATCTTTAGGAACTTAAGTTCTAGGAAAACCAGAGGTATGACCCTTTGACTATAAAAAAACCCCAACAAAAACAAGTCATCACGGCTATTAGATGAAACAGTCTAGCCTCTTTGCCTCAACTTGGAAAGGATATTAAATCTCTAGGAGCTCTGTGTTCCAGTGTAAGATGAGCTGCAAAGTCATCTGTGACATGATTCGGATCCCCTCCAGGTAATGCTGCACATATTGGACAAATCTGAAATGACAAAGTGAGAAAAAAACCCAACTTCGTATGCTTTACACAAAACAGAACTCATGTCATTGAGTCAATCATTAAGACATTGATTCTTATGCTTTAAAATCACATTGTAGGTATTCACAAACACCTGAATAGCAACATATTCACAAAACCCATATACATCCAAATGCAAACATTAATTTAGACATCTTTTACTTTGTGATTTTCAGAATGTTATGAAAACCAGAGCTAGAACTTTCAAATCTATTCGCAATGTCTTGAAAATTAGTCTTTGTATGACAATTCTTCCAGACAGTAGAGTCTAATTACACAGGATTACTATTTGCCTGCTTGACATTCATCCCAGCAGAGGAATCAGAATGAAACCACACGTAAGTGCTTGTTGGAGTATCATACTGAGACCACCCATCCAGACAGTACATTAACTACAGGTTTGTCAGAGAAGGGCTGATCACCATATCCCTGCACAACAGTATTTCGGGAGAAGGCACTGATGTCTTCAGTTTTGGTTTGTGTTTTTTTTTTTTTTTTTTTTAAAAACCAAAACACATTAACTAAGTAGACAAACAGTGCCATTACAATTGTCATAATCATGACTTGTTGTTTTGAGTGACTTCACAAACAGCTTGAAAAGCATCTTCTATTTTTCTTTACAGTAGTTTTGCAGACTTATTTTAGATGGCAGAAAAAAAAAAATGTTCCACAAAATTCTTCCCACAAATGTTAAGTGCTCAAATTAACAGCACTTTGACAGTTAAGTGCAACTGCTGTCTATGAATTTATTTCTCTGTTCCTCACAGTCAAATAGTCTTGCCTTTATGCAGCAACTCTGGTTGCAACATAAAGCTCTGGTTTCCAGTGCTCTTCATGCATATACTTAAGTTGTTGACAGTAGATCTCAAAAGACCGTGGACATTAACAACACCCAGATAATAGCACACACATCTGTCTTACTCTTATGGAGGTGAGGACAAAGTATTGAAATAAGTTTACTCTAAAATCCTGGCTGCTTCTGACAGCAGCTGCTACATCTTCAATGCTACTTCAATTTCAGTAGTCAGCTCAAGCATTTTAGAAGCTTTCTGCTATAACCCCTTCCCCTTTATTTCCAGTGTTCAACGTTTCTCACAGAATGCCTCTTCCCACATTTTTCACGACTACAGAAGCCATACAAACAGACACACTACAAAGCAAAGACATCTTATTACAGCATAATATAATAAATACTCAGCTATGCCAATATATCACACAGCTACCCTGCAGGGACATAAGAATGGATGTATATTGGACAGACAGTTCTAAAGTCCATAAACTTATAAATAAGCTGCTTAATCTTCAAGAATGTGTTTCATACCAACAGGACACAACACCTTCAGAGCAATTTTTTTTCATTCAAGCTACTCTGAGGAAGCAGAACCCCAACATGAGAAGAAAAACACACTTCTGAAAGCAACAAAGCAAAGCAAAAGAAAGTTCTTTTGCTAACATGACAATGATGTTAGGAACTGCACATATTTGGCTGAAAAGAGACACGGTCCTCAGAAATAACATCAGGTAAGAAAAAGTTATAAGGAACAATGAGAAGGAGGGAATTTAAGTATCTAACCCTAATTCTAAACATGAACTAAACCTCAAGAACACTCTGAGAAAGTTACTGAAGCATTGTTACACACAAACAAAAATTTAGTTAAGCATAAGCTCTCGCAAAATCACAACAAAGACTGCAGCATCACTGATTGAGTGTGACACAGCTAAAAATTATTGTTAATAGAACAGGTATGAACAAGTGTTGCAGATGAAAGGAAAACATTGTCTGCAGTTTCTCCTGAAGTTATGATGATTTGTATTTAAAAATGATCGTGTTACCCTGAGCGATGTCTGAAAGATGAATGTAAACTCTTAAGGCAATTACGCTCACAGAATACCTGCCAGTTTCCAGAATTGTGCTTATATTTACATACAAGGTAAACACTTCCAGTGACAGTATTTGTGTGACCTCAACAAGAGACACTGTAATCTTCCAGAAGGAAACGGGAACCATTCAGACTGTCTCAGATTGTCTATTTCATTACTGCAAGAAAAGCCTTCCTCAATTTTATCAATGTATCAACAACCTAGTCCTTACAGTTCATGTACAAGGAGCTACTTACTGCCCTGCTAAACATGAGAAAGTTGCTGCAGTGCAATGCAATAGTAGAAAATGTGTCTGTTCTGAAATGAGATTCAAAGATGACATTTGATGAAGTTTCCTAAAATTTTTGTATTTTCAACGCTAGCAGACTTCTAGTTGAATGCTGCATTTTATTTTGAACAGTTGACTGACCTAAACCCAACACCAACAACAACAATCATCATACTGACAGCCAGATTCCTCTGCAATTGCCTTGTAATACTTATCATTATCCTTGGATATTTACTGGTGAAGAAATACTGGTAATTACTTAAGTTTTAGTACTCACTAAAACCATAAGATTTATTCTTTTTAGTGTGTAACCTTAGAGACTTAATCAATCGCAAAACTTACGACTACTCCCATAGGCACCAGTATCATTTTCAATTCAAATACCCAAAATTAAAACAATCACCTTCATGGAAATATCATCAAACTCTCCTCCTGGAGTTCCTCTCCAGGACCTCAACACACTGGGGTGCCTCTCCAGAGTGCTGGTATTCTAATTCACACAGCATGGGGAGTAACTGTGATGAGTTAGAGATCTACCTGCAGGGCTACGATCTTCTTGGGATCAGAGAGACATGGTGGGATGGTTCCCATGACTGCAGTGTTGCCATCGCTGGATGGAGGCTCTTTAGAAGAGGAAGGTGGGGGCTGACTTTATGTGAGAGAGCAGCTGGAGTGCATGAAGCTCTGCCTGGGGATAGAAGAACTGATGGAGAGCTCAGAAGTTGGGATTAAAGAGAGGACAGGCAAAGGTGACAATATAGTTGTTATCTACTACAGGCCACCTGACCAGCAAGAACAAATGGATCACACCCTCTACAGGCATAATAGCAGCTGCCTCACAGTTGCAAGCCCTGGTCCTCATGGAGAACTGCAACCACCCCAGTAACTCCTGGAGAGACAACACAGCATGACAGCAACCTAGAAGGTTCCTGAAGTACACTGATGATAATTTGTCCTCCAAGTGACAGAGGAGCCAATGAAGAGAGGTGCTCTGCAGGACTTCATACTCACCAACAAGGAGGGGCTCATTTGGGATGTGAAGGTCAAAGGCAGCCTTGGCTATAGTGACCTTGCGATGGTAGAGTTCAGGATCCTGGGACAGGAAGATGAAAAACAAGTTCACAACCCTAGACTTTTGAAGAGCAGACTTTGGCCTCTTCAAATACCTGCCTGGAGGAGTCCCATGGCATAAGGCCCTGGAGGGTAGAGGGGCCCCAAGAAAGCATGTCAACATTCAAGGATGATCCCCTCCAAGCTCAAGAGCACTCCATTCCCAATGAATATAAAGTCGGGCAAAAATGCCAGGAGGCCTATGTGGATGAACAAGATGCTCCTGGCCAAACTCAAACACAAAAAGGAAGCACACAAAGATCACCCTCCCAGGGTAACCTTGAAGGAATACAGAAACATCGTTCAAGCATCTGAGGACAAAGTAAGGAAAGCTAAAACCCAAATGGAATTGAATCCAGTGAGCAATGTCAAAGGCAACAAGAAGGGCTTCTGTACATGGGCAACAAAGAGACAACTAGGGAAAATGTGGGCCCATTGCTCAAAAGATGGGGGACCTGCTTACAGAGGACATAGAAGAGGCTGAAGTACTGAATGATTCCTTTGCCTCAGTCTTTACTAGCAAGACCAGCCTGCAGCAATTCTAAGCCCCAGAGACCACAGGTAAAGTCTGGAGCAAGGAAGACATTCTCCTGGTGGAACACTACTACTTTAGATAATACTTAAGTGAACTGGACATACTTAAGTCCATGGGTAATGGGATGCACCCCCAAGTGCTGAAGGAGCTGACAGATGCCATTGCGAGGCTGCTCTCAATCTTTGATCAATCATGGTGACTGGTAAAGGTGCCTGAGGACTGGAGTAAAGCAAATATCACTCCTAGCTTAACGGGTAAGAAGGAGGACCTGGGAACTACAGGCTGGGCAGCTCACCTCAATCCCTAAGAAGATGTTGGAGCAACTAGTCATGGACACCATTTCTAGCACATTAAAGACAAAAAAAAAAATCATCAAGAGTCATCAGCATGGCTTCACAGAGGGGAGGTAAACTTCTATGATGAAGTAACTGGGCTGGTAGATGACTGGAGAGCAGTGGGTCTTTTCTACCTGGACTTCAGTAAGGCCTTTGCCACCATCTCCCATAAGATCCTCATAGACAAGAAGCTGTTGATGGACAGGCTGGATAAGCAGACAGCAAGGTGGAGTGAAAACTGGCTTAATGGCTGGGCTCAGAGTATGGTGATCAGTAGGAATTTTGCTGATGACACAGAACTGGAAGGAATGGCTGATATGCCAGAGGGCTGTGCTGCCATTCAGAGGGACCTCAACAAGCTGGAGAAATGGGCCAACAAGAACCTCATGAAGTTCAACAGAGGAAAGTACAAAGTCCTGCACCTGGGGAGGAACAACTCCAGAGCACCAGCACACTGGAGGCCACCCATTTGGAAAGCAGCTTTGCAGAAAAGGACCTGGGAGTCTTCATGGACCATGAGTCAGCAGTGTGACCCTGCAGCAAAGAAAGCTAATGGTGTTCTGGGCTGGGTTAGGAAGAGTGTCACCAGCAGGTGAAGGGTGGTGATTCTCTGTCTCTATCCAGCGCTGGCAAGGCCACAATTGGTGTACTGGGCTCCACATACAAGAGACATGCACAACCTGGAGAGAGTCCAGCAAAGGGCTACAAAGATTATGGGACTGGAGCATCTCTCCTATGAGGAACGGCTGAGAAAGTTGTGACTGTTCAGGCTGGAGAAGAGCAGGTTGCAGAGGGGATCTTATGAATCTATGTAAATACCTGAAGGGAGGGTGAAGGGAGGACAGAGCCAGGCTCTTTTCAGGGTGCCCAGTGCCAAGAGCAGAGGCAGTGGGCACAAATTCAAACAAAGGAGGTTCCTCATCTACATAAGGAAATATTTTTTCACTGTGAGGGTGACTGAGCACTGGCAGAGGTTGCCCAGAGCAGCTGTGGAGTCTCTATCCTCTGAAATATTAAAAAGCTGCCTGGAACATGGGTCCTGGGCAACCAGCTGTAGGTGGCCCTGCTTGAGCAGGCAGTTGGACTAGACAACCTCCAGAGCTCCCTTCCAACCTCAGTCAGTCTGTGATTCCTGCCCACAAGTACCTAACATTGCTGTATGTACCAGTGCCAAATACCTAAGAAAAATCAGTCAAAAGTAAACTTATCTGTACCACCCTGAACCTAAGAGTGGCAAAAAGTAACAGACCAAAAACTCTTTGACTTATTCTTTGAAAAATGGGGGATGGAGGAAGGAGGGCTCTAAAATAAGTGATTCCATCCTCATAAACATCCCTTAGAAATATAAAAATAAATACTTGAAACAAAACACATCTTTTGAAGGACAGAGATACTACAAGCTTAGTATCTAAACAGAAATAATTACTTGAAAGCCTAAGACCACAAACATTTTGAAGTCATAATATTTTCCTCTGTAGTAATATTGTAGCCTTTCGCTATCTACAGTAAGGGTGCATTACCCAAGTAGTTTTGTGTGTATACGCACATTTATCACAAAAGCTAGATTCAAAACTCAGCACAAACATATACAACCATATTCAAGGATTAAAATGTTGTCCTTTATCATTGTTTGGAATAAAGATACAACAATGTTGCCAACTGACTCACAAAATTTTTTCTTCCTTTACACATACAGCTCTTTTAGGAATCAGTGGAGCAGCAGGTGTCTAGAATCACAAATCTAGGCTTTATGTACTGAGTGCTAGAAGTCACAGCTGCAAACCAGGATGTGTGAAATTTAAAAACCTGGAATCTTAACATTCTGTGTCAGGAACATATCACTGACATCAAGTGGTGCAAATCAGAATTGCAATACTAAGCCACCCAAGAAAGTCATCCAAGCATGGAACTTTCAATGGTTTGACACTATGTTTGAATGTTGTGAAGTTAAAGAAAAACTCAAGGAGATGATAAAAAAATGCAGTATGTCATTAAGTTAAATTATGATCCTACAGCACAAATGATTGAAGTAAGCTGTTTCACTTCGTATGTTTTTAAGATCAAAACACATTTGAGTGTCAAAAAGTGGACAAACCACCTCCCCGATCACTCCTTCACACAAGATCCTTCATAGGCTTGGAGACAAAACATTCATTTTCTTCCACAAAATTTCTTCTAAGTTAAGAAAACTAGAAGATTAGAATAGAGAACCTATTTACAAGTATTTTCTTCACTATATATTAGTGATGAGTAATCCCCTTCAAGCATTCACATTTTCTCCTAATTTGTGGTACGACAGTTCACCAGACAAGAGCACCCTGGATGTTGTTCTGCTAACCTAGTTTCTCCCAAAGACAATCAGGATAGCAGGAGTTATCACCTCAGATTAAAGTATTTCTGTTGGAACTTGTTTAAGAAGTGTGTTTTTAACTATGTCAAGTGTCCTAATGCTTAGAGATGAGGGAAAACCCCTTACTTTAACAGTAATCATTTCAAAAGCATGACAACTTCCACTGCATAAATATACCAGGTCCATTACAAAACCTATTTGAAAAAGAAAAACATACCAAAGTGTCTTTCTCTCTTACAGTTACAGAAGACTGGCACAGCTATAAGCTGCCAGGACAATTACATACTAGTTGCAAACAGGGAGACACAGCTACACAGAATAAGCATGAAAACATTCTAAATTTTGTCTTACAGAATAATAAACTCCTAAACATGGCAACCTTCACATCAAGACAACCAAACAGCAACCATCAAAGAAGAAAGCAAGCTCATCAATCATATCAAGATTACAATACCCATGAAACACAGAAGAATTTTGATGCCACCATCAAGTGTGGGTATGTGTCCTTACAAAGCACTTAAATGAACTAATGTTTTAAGGAAGAAACCAAACAGAAGAATACCAGTTTTCCAGACAAGAGACTCTTTTTAATATAGTTCCACCACAATCAAAAGCCAATTCTGAAGCTTCTTACCACTTCTGTTGATGTTTCTGCATGCTCAGAAGTAACGTGTTCTTGAAGAGATGTTTCCGTATAACCCATTTTACCACAATAAGGACAAGTAAAAGACTGTGGCTGTTCTACAGAGAAAGCTTCTCCACCATAGTACAAATCTGGAACAGAAAGTGTTTCAATAGAGGTTACTTCAAAGCAGTAGCATCATTTATTTTATTCACGTAAACCTCTGTTTATAAATGCACTTCAATGTAATCACTGTCAAATTAATCTGGTATTTAATTTACATGACTATTTTCATCTTGTATAAAAAGCCATAAGCTGATATCCAAGAAGCGTTCAATTACTGATGACAAAAACCAGACAGACTACATTTCATTTTCATTAGCAAACATAACGGTCTTCTAATATTCAGTATGAGCAACAACTCCTGTGATGATATTGATACTACCAAACCTTCACTCTTCTGCCACCCTTCTCCCATGTACAGGGTCACCTATGGTATTTTTCAATCGTAAAATCAGTTTTCAAAAGCCAAACTCTCAACAGTACCTCAAAAAATTTAGATTAAAATGTAGAAGTCCTCAGTGATACCATATGTCAATATTTATGACATAGCTGAACCACTGCTTTGCAATAAATAGCTTCATAAATGTCTCAAATATGTCACATAAAAGATTGATACTAAAAAAGGCAGCTGATTGTCTGTTACACACTGGTTGCAACTTGTGCGTTGAATTTAAGTGCTTTTGCACTACTGATGAAAAGCAGGCACTTCTAAGTTGCTAATGTAGAAGTTCCCCAAACCTAACATAAAAGTTTATCACGCCATGCAAGAACAGAACACTTTTCTCCCTCATCCTCTGCAGGTATTATGTATTCTACAGGGAACATTAATATATTTCACATTCACATCAAGATAAAAAGTGTGATTTTCTCCAGCAAGTAATTTAAAAATCTTTACTGACATTTTTTCTAGCACTTGCTGATAACTAACGGAAAAATATTTTTATAAATTATAAATATTATGCTATAAATTAAAAATTGGATAAGTCTAAACAGGTACTAGAACTCATGTTCTGCACCACAACGCAGTATCTATCAAATGTATTAAGAATATGTCCTCTGATGGCTTAAATCACAGCTTCCTAAGGCTTATGACATCATCTGCTATTGACGTCTCTTTAGGATATGACTAGGAAGAACAGAACAACATTTGTTTCTGCAGCCTTACAGAAGATAATGCTTAAACTAAAAATGTACATGTCTATAATCCACTATATTAAGAGATAGTATTTTACATATAACTAGGTTTTGAAGGCTAGCACTCCAAGACCAAGACAAGTAATTAACTTCTTATAACATGCTAATATGCAAAGTTAAAGATACAGAATCAGACTAAGTACACTGCAGAATGAAGTTTATGTTCAGTAAGTCCCTGTTCCCCTTATTTGAAAACAGCTTCCAAAGAATTTAAATGCTGGAGCATGAGAGAAAGATCAACAGGCATGGTCAGAAATGCCCAAGTATACAGACAGCCTTGCCATAGAAGAAACACTTTACTAAAGTCCAGGTAGGCCACATCCACAGCCTTTCCCTCATCCACTAGGCAGGTCACCTGGTCACAGAAGGAGATCAGGTTGGTCAAAGCAGGACCTGCCTTTCATGAACCCATGCTGGCTGGGACTGATCCCTTGGTTGTCCTGCACATGCCCCGTGAGCACTCTCAAGATGAACTGCTCCATGATCTTCCCCAGTACCGAGGTCAGGCTGACAGGCCTGTAGTTTCTGGGATCCTCCTTCCAGCCCTTCTCGTAGATGGGCATCAAACTGGCAGGCCTCCAGTCATCTGGGACCTCCCCTGGCAACCAGGACTGCTGATAAATGGTGGAGAGTGGCTTGGGAAGCTCCTTCGCCAGTTCCCTCAGTAGTCTTGGGTGGATCCCATCAGGCCCCATAGACTTGTGGGCATCCAGGTGGCATAGCAGGTCCTTAAGTGCTTCTTCGTGGATTTTGGGGAGCTTACTCTGCTCACCTGTCACCTCACTCCCTGTCTTCCAGCTCAGGGAGCTAAATAACCTGAGGATACTTAGTCTGGCTATTAAAGACTGTGGCAAAGGCAGCATTAAGTACCTCAGCCTTTTTCTCATCCTTGGTGACAATGTTCTCCCCGCTCCCCCCATCCAATAAGGTATGGAGATTCTCCTTGGCTATCTTAGTTGTTAATATATTTGTGAAAATATTTTTTTGTTGTCCCTTATGACCACAGACAGATTGAGTTCTAGCTGGGCTTTTGCCTTTCTAATTTTGTCTCTGCATGACCTAATGAGATTCTCGTACTCTTCTTGAGATGCCAAGAGAACCACTTTTAACTGCTTCATTAAATTAACTATGACACTAAGTTTGAGTACCATTTTGAATCTAGGTTCATTTATTCACATACATGAGGAAAACATTATGTGCAACTATCCAAAGTAAAAAGTTCCCAGCCAATTAAGTCTTAGTTCTCCAAAGCAGCACTTGAGGTTCTATTACATGTTTTATACAATAAGGCACAGAAGTAGCTTTTCATTAGAGAATGGAATTGCATATCAGAGATGAATATACACAGACTGAAAGTCAGGATGAATGTAAGTTGGAAGACATGCCCAAAAGATTAGCACCCCCACCCCCAATCTGAAAGTCATTTATATAGTAGTGACACAAACAGATGCCTGGAATCATTATTAGAAGGAAATCCCTAAGGTCCTTGCACATGTATCAGGACCCAGTTCTGAATGCAACTGCGTCACCCAACACACAAATGATGGGCATCTCCCTGACAGGTTGTCAGGCATTCAGGTGTATTCTAACAACAAGACATACGGTATGTCTTAATTCAAAACATCTGTCTTTACCTGATCCCCTGTAAATCCATGGGAAGAACCAGTAAAGCTATGAAAAGGAAGGACTACCTTCTCATGTTTGTAGGAGAGGTTGCTGGCCAACACTTAAATACACCATACTCAACTCAAAACAACAATACAACCAGATTGGAAGAAAGCTTCTTACAAACACTTCAATCTGCTTGTTTGGTTTATAAGCTAAGTATCAATCAGCTTCACAGCATGTGCTGAATGCTCAGAAACAGTAACAGCAGCAAATTTCCCCATGTCAAAGCTTTTAAAACTATCTCCATGTCTCACCTATTACTCACAGGAAGCCTGTGTTTATTCCAGAAGAGTAGATTGGTACTACAATTACTCTGGCAGGTGACCATAAAAACTGGGTCTGAGGCAGTGCACCATTAGCATTCAGAACTCTGACAGTCCCTAAGTACAGAAGTTAAGCAACATCCCTGCAGGATGAACCAATTACATTTACTTACATGTACAACTATCTTTTGACTTGAATACTTTCTCTAAAATTACAGCGCACACATTTTCCAGGTGGTGACCAGTCTTGTTCCCAAGTCTTCCATTCTCCTCTTGCATACATGATATGCAATACTTAAATGAAAATCAACATACTCCAAGTTTGAGGTGTTATGGAGACTGTTGCAGATACAACACACAGAAGAGGTACATAATTCACAGAACTTCAAGATTTTAGAGCTCCTAACCAGTGCCACTTAAGTACTAATTCACTAAGCACTCCTCTGAAAGCTTCTCCAAGAATTACATTCAGCCTCCCATTCTGATATAGCAAAAAAAAAAAAATTACTGATATGCTGCAGCATACTCAAATACAAAGAATCTACATATGTCATGGTTTCAAATGAGGAAAAGTATGAACAATGTTTACATGGGACAAAGTTCTAAGGAATCACTAAAGTCTCTGAACAGATCAGCCATACAGACTATGGAACAGATACTCTTTCAGAAAAATGTATCTGTAAGGCAAAGGATTCAAAATGATGGCTCTCTAGAATAGATAAATGCAAAATGCTTCCATGAAGATGGATGAAAGAACCCTCATTGCAATTACATGAAGAAAAATTGTAATTAGAGCAGCTCATTACACAAGTTGCTATAGCATATAGCAAAAAGGAAAGCTTTAAAAGCATTCTTATTTCTACAGTGTCATTGAACAGAGGAAGTGTAAACTTCAGTTTATATTTTTTCAGTGTCTTAAAGATATAAACAGAGTTGGAACTTAAAGATTCTGGGAACAAAATAAGTAAGATAGCCTAACTTTTGAACAGAATGATTAAGAAGAATTTCAAATTTAACTGCATTTAAACAAAAACAATGCATGCAAACATTATATTGTTCTCTGAAACGCAGTAATTCAACATACCTGTGGGAATTGCAAAAATGCCCGTCACAACACATCAAAAGCTAATGATAGTTTCTTTAGTTGATCCTCAGATTTCCCTCAAGCTTTGGCATGATCCTCATGATGATCATTAAATACCTATTTACTGATTGGAAAACTGAAATTCTCCATCACTGCAAACCTACACACACATGCAAGTACAAGTCATTTTCCTTTGAGGACTTTTTCTAGCTGAGCACACTATTTCTGGGAATTTTCCAAGTCCTGGCATCTTATATATTGACCTGGGTAAAACAAGAAGATGACAACTCAAGAGGCAAGCTAATGTAAAAAGAGGCAAATCATCTTACTTTGATATGTAAATCCTCTAAAAGGTAACTTCTGCATCTACTATCTAAAAAGAAAAAATCCCTCAAAATTATCAGGTGGTCTAAAAACCTCCACCTATAAACCTCACTACTTCATGAATGTAGGTATTTTCAAGTAAGGCAGAAGACCAACTCCAACTTCCCAGCTGAGCAAAGGGCCACAGCCAATCTGAAGAGAGTGGTAAATAGATTAGCATGCAGGTAAAAGTATCTTTTGCTTAGATAATGTTGTTAGCTCAGTCCAGACATCAAGAATTTCAGCAGTACAGACTGTTCTATCAGAGGCGACAAGTACTGTCAAATCCTGTGTTTCTGGTCCTTGCTTTTAGAAAATATGAAAAAAGCCATTTATTAATTAAAAAAATGAAAATCTGAGTTCTTTCCAGCCTCCTGATTATACCCCTGCACATTCTCCTACTCATACCTCCTTCCACATCTTTTTCATAATACAAACACACATGCCAAATAAATATCCCTTCATCTGGGAAAAAAATTAATAAATATACCTGTCAGAAGTGAAATCAGTCACTGGC